AAATATGTGCAAAACGTATAACAGTAGTATCTTTCTTTGCCCTGAGCTTCTGCTCTGATATAAATTATTTCCTTATTTCTTAAATCACTGAATTATTATTTAGATATTTGGTGTACATTTCAGCATTCAAGATCTTAAGTAATTTTGTTTTATTTTACTTTGTTGTAAGAAAATTTTATTTTTAAATTAAATTTCAAACTAAAGAAACCAATTTACTCAGCCCAATAAATCCATGTTGCTTGCAATTTATGGTCACCCCAAACAGGAATTTCAAGGTAAGTGAAATGTTCTGGGAGCAGTTTATCATTGCTACTACATCACCCTCTGTGTTTGTGGGGCAGAACAGAATTTGAACCCAGTTCTCCTGAATCCTACTGATACTGTATCCACTGCACTGCACTGCATTAATCCACACAAAGACTTCATGAAATGGTGATACCCATTTCCCCCTACTCATTACAATTTTATGTGAGGCATTCAATCCCAGGACAGGTGGGATTGGTAGATTGTCCGCTACGGAGAAACAGACGGCGTTGTCCAAGCAAGAAAGTGCGGTAAGACTCGCTCAGAGGCAAGGGGGTCATATTTTGAACATCTGATTGCGGTGAATGTTAAAAATTATTCCAGTCAGTATGCAAGCACACTTGAGACCAACTAGCTGGCGCACTTGGTGAAGAGTTTTGAACACTTCAGATGGGCTCCAGAAACGGCAACCAGGCCTCGAAAGGGTGGTTAAGAGCCCCATTTGTATTCAAGGGGAGCTTGAGGAATTCCCTCGGGATCTTCCTGGAGGCCTCGTTGGAAAGCGGGGGTGGGGAGGGGGAAGAGGCGGGAGCGGGACGTCTTCCCACAAGTCCGGGGAGCGCAGCACAGGCCCCGGGGCTCCAAACAGAGGGAGGGCCCTTCGGAAGCGCGGGCTGAAGATCCGGCCGGGCGGCCCGCTTCCTGCCCGTCCCTGAGGTGAGCGAGGGGGCGTGGAGGGTAACAAAGCCCTGGTAACCTGGTTGCTACCGCGGCGGCGGCGGGTGCTTGGTAACCGGGCGCTGCCCCTTTAAGCGGCCGGAGGGCGGGACGGAGAGGGAGAAAGGATCCCTTCTACCCCACCCTCGGGCCGGCTCGCCGCTTCTTTCCGCCCCTCGGGCTGGTCGCCGGTTCCGCAGCCTTCGCCTGCCCGCGTCCTCCTGCCTTCGCGCGCTCCTATTGCACCCCATGCGGGCGGCGGCGGCGGAGCGCCTGGGAGCGG